AAGGCAGAAGATCTATTCACAATATTACACTGTATGGTATTGCCTATTAAGTAACGTAAGGCAGAAGATCTAGTCACAATATTACACTGTATGGTATTGCCTATTAAGTAACGTAAGGCAGAAGATCTAGTCACAATATTACACTGTATGGTACTGCCTATTAGTAATGTAAGGCAGATGATCTATTCACAATATTACACTGTATGGTATTGCCTATTAAGTAATGCAAGGCAGATGATCTATTCACAATATTACATTGTATGGTATTGCCTAGTAAATAATGTAAGGCAGAAGATCTAGTCACTATATTACACTGTATGGTATTGCCTATTAAGTAACGTAAGGCAGAAGATCTAGTCACAATATTACACTGTATGGTATTGCCTATTAAGTAACGTAAGGCAGAAGATCTAGTCACAATATTACACTGTATGGTATTGCCTATTAAGTAACGTAAGGCAGAAGATCTAGTCACAATATTACACTGTATGGTATTGCCTATTAAGTAACGTAAGGCAGACGATCTAGTCACAATATTACACTGTATGGTATTGCCTATTAAGTAATGTAAGGCAGAAAATCTATTCACAATATTACACTGTATGGTATTGCCTATTGAGGCTGAATTTTTCATTGGTTTGGGAAAGGTACAGTGTGAAATTGTATTTATTAAATTTTATTTTCTATTTATTTATAGAGACCTGGTCAAGACATGGGTGAGAGAAATACCCTGGTTTTTGTTTCCTCATTTGATGAAAATGTTCAAGGGAATCTAACTGATACTAAGGAAGAAATGTTAGAGAAATTACATCAAGTTTTCCTTGATGGCTTGCTGTCTGCCTCCAATTTGTCTGAGCTGGTTAACAACAGAGAAAAAATTAATTGTTTCTACCAAGGTAAGCTTGATTAAATGGTATCTGAAATGGTGTACAGTCAAACCTGTATTAAGTGGTCATCCAAGAGGAATGGTGGTATGACAGCTTAAGATAGGTTGACCTCCTAATAAAGGTTCTGTAATTCAGGGGTATGAAAAGAAACAATAAAAAATGTCTTTGTGCTATATCTGACCACTTCATTTACAGAAACTCACTCAAAAATAGTATTAACTTAAACATTGACTTTTGCGGCAACTGCTCCTTTTCATATTATTTGCATATATTGGTTACATTGTACAAATGACAAAATAATTCACATGTGGAAGCTCTTTGCTTATGGAAAAATCTTTGTCCATGGAAAATTCAAAAGCAGAAAAAAAGCCCTCAGGTGAAAAAAAAAAAAAGACAAAACAGGCCCAAAGAATAAAGAAGAGTACCATTCAGTCAAGAAAAGAAAATAATCCTTGTTGAATGTAATTGGTACTCTGCTCCATGTTGGTGTCCAGATTTCAAACAAAGAGGTTGTGATCAAACCAAAATTTTTTATACATTAAGTTAAAAATGAGGTTTCTTTTTATGTATGCAAGCACCAGCCCTGATAGAAAAACATTTTACAATCACCTTGTATTGTAATTTTTAAAGCTGTCTGTTGATTCGTTGTCTTGCTTCTTGAGCAGCACAATACCATAATTATTTACCCGTGTATAACATGTGCCCATGTATAATATGCACCCTTGTTTTTAACAGCAAATTTATCAGAAAGAAGGTTTTTCATAGCATAAAGACGATTAAAATCTTCATACAATTATTTATTAAGACAATGAGAATAAGAAATTTACTGTATTGTTAACACTAATATCTTAATTTGCTACTTAGTTACTTATGATATTATTCAAACCAAACTTCAGACTTCAAGTGAGGCCTAGCTAATTTGACAATTCCATGGCCAGGTAAATATTACGAGTGAGCAAAAATATGTCCAAACAGTATGGAAGATTTTGTGTCAAGTAAACAACAATATAACCATGATGAATTCCACTGGGCACACTTTGTATACGTAAGAAATCTGCAAGTTTTTAGCTTAAAATAGCAAATCAAGAACTGCTTTGCATAAAGCCTTTGTCCTGAAATATTTCTTGCTCTCTTTCATCTTGCTTCTCATTGAAAAATACCATGTAACATGAGATCTCTTCATACATGGCAAATTTGCATGTTCACTTTGAAATCTGATGCACTGCCGGTTTGCACACTTGCAAAAATATTTTTTAGTGATTTTTGTCTTTCCTCTTGATTCTAGAGTAAAACTTAATATGCACCTATAATTTTTCATAGAAAGTAAGTTATTTAACTATAGTTACTTTGTTGTGTTTTTGACGTATAATGTTGTAGGTCAATTTTATCCTTGGTCCAAATTTTGTTTTCCTTTAATGTTTCAAACTCATTATTAGACATTAACATGACCAAGAACAAAGGAAAATAAAATTTGATCCAAGTATAAAATTGAACTACAACATATAGAAATTTGGACATGCTTGACAAACAATAGAATCCGTATATAATACGCACCGCAATGTTGATGGTTAGTTTTATAGAAATAAAGTGCGTATTATACATGCATTGGGTAAATAATATGGTATTTGGTTTTTCCATTTTTACCGCAGGTTTTTAGTTTGCCTATTATAATGTGCTGTCCTCCTCAAGGCTGCACTGAGTAATTGAGATATAACATGTCTGTAATGTGTTACTTTTCCTGGCAAATCTTGATCCATCGCCATTGACACAGGGAGGTCCTGTTGTCCCATTGGTTTGCAGTTTCAGGAGGCGAGATAATCTCCTGATGTGGTGCTGGTTGTTTACAGACATTTAGGAGCTAAAATCTTGCATTTGATTTTGAGAGGAATACATGCACCTTGAGCGAATTTCTAAATTATGTAGATTTAACCAATTTTTGTGAAATTTTGCCAAAACATTCCAGGGATAATGACAAACAAAAGTGTGTCTGTTCAAGAAATTTTTATGTTTAAAATATTTTTCATTTGGCATCCATTTATACAACCAGTCTTGTATATTTTAGGCCTCTCTAACTTTAGATGCTGATATCTAGACAACCAATCAGAATATTGGAAAAGCCACTTTTGTTGATTGATGCCTTGTGAATAAGACTGTGTAGCCATTTTGCTTGTGCTGTAGGATCCAATACCCAATAAATCCAACAGAAGGACCCTCAGGTGTTTCACACCTTACTGGCTCCTAACACTTCCTAAATGAAAACATCACTTATATTATAATTATTTTATTATAAACTAAACCTTTCTTCTGATGTATAGTTTGTTAGGAATTCCTTTCAACTAGTGTGCACACAAATTTTTTCCGAAAGGACACCTGCAAAGGTGGGAAGTAATCTTTTTGACATTTGGTGATGTTAAAAAGGATTTTTTTTGAGAAGATATTTAAAACAGCTGCACAGACATTTGCAAAATGGTGTAAATCATCTCTGTTCAAAGTTATTGTCCACTTGCCGTTTTTAGAACTTCTGGTGGATTCTTAAAGCTTTATACTCAGATGTTATCTGGACACTTCAGACATTGTTCTCCCTTTTTTTTTGTTATTCAGTCCCACAGTGATTAAGAAACATGTCTTAGAACCGATTTGATTTGACTTGGAGCACTAGTCATGTGATGCATTGTGAGACGAATTTTGCCATGCTTGGGTCATGTGAAACCAGCTTCTCAAAACCATGTGCTATTAATTTAAAACCAAATCACAACATGTACACTGGCATTGAGCACGTTGAGCCCAACATGGCTTTCAAGATACCTTTCCTCAATCCTCAATCACTCAAAACAGGTTATTGTTAGGTCTGTGTTTTGGAGGTCTGTATTTTGGAGGTCTGTGTTTTGGAGGTCTCCGGTCTGTGGTCTGCATTTTCAAGGTCTTTGTTTTTGACACACCCATTGTGCTCATGGAAAATAAAAATGTAGTGTCACAGAGAGTTATATTATTCATGATTCTTTATTCCATTATCTACTGCAGCCGCTTGAAATGATGATTTTAGGAGAATCCAGTCCAGAATTATAAATGTTTTCTTGTTAGTTAATAATTAATTAACTTTAATTAAAATTGGTTTTACTTATAATTATATATTAACTCTTGGGTGTTTGTAGGCTAGATTTCTGGAGCTCTCTTGGGTGCGGTCTTTCTCATTCCTCCCCGAGAATAGGTGGCTGGACTCATGAGCAGCCATCCATGTCTGTAGCGTAACTTTAAAAAATTAATCTATGCTTTCTCAGATGTCACCGGATGTGAAATAGGATTCCAATTCCGTGTTAATATTTTGCACCATAATGTACACACACCCTTATATTTGTGTATGGTGGAAACTATGCTAGATTACTAGCAATGTGTTCTCTTTATTTGTTTCAATGTTGGGGTAGGAGTGCAGGCTCTGGTTCCTGAACAGTGGCTAATAATCAAGCCAAGGGTGTTTGTTGTTGAATGCAATATATCTCATGACATTTGGAATTTGTTATTTTTGTCACTGGTGAATGAAAATTGTTGTCACTTATGATCACAGCTGCATTTGTTCAACTACCTGTACTAGAAAATATTTGAATTGTTACATATAAAGAAACAATATTTTGTTACAACAAAGAAACAATGCATTTTGTGTGTAATTTCATTTAAAGTAATTCCAAACAATGGTACATGTAGTTACATGACTGTATTTTTAGGGGATAAGTTTAATGGACTAAATGAATAGACCTTATCCTGTTCCAAACATTCTCTTATTAACTACTGTAACATATAGAGTAATAATTCATAAGTGGCAAGTGCAAAATGAAAAAATATTTGATGGGGCTGTGTAAAGAATACCTGTTGAAGTTTGTTGTAAAAGGTTTTGTAAGTTTTTAGAATTCCCTTGTCTGTTTGTTTGACATTGTGCATGACAATAGGACCATTTCAATGTCTACTGCTGCTTTGAATTGTTGGTGAAGATTTCTGCAAACCATGCATAGAACTCACTCTCTAGTTGAAATTATTTATTTTATAGACTATGCATTTCTGAGAAGCATTCCGCATGTAGAAGCAATGTGCACTTGTATACAAGCTTTGGAGAATGGTGACTGTCAGCTGCTTGCTAAAATTGATAACATTCTGGTGAGTACTTTTTACATCACAATAGGTAACTCCCACTTCCTCTTGTGATCTTTCAACAGTGAAGGAAAACTAAAATTTTCAGTTCTACCAGCCTTGCGACCAGTATAGACATTAACCTGCAACCTAAGGGTAGGATTTTCCTGTTAGTCTTAAACTGGGTTAATTAAAGTCCCTAAATGATCTTACTGGTAGGGAATAATTAAGATTTTGTTCTGTGGAACTTTCAGCTGAACAAGAAAAAGAACATTGATCTGTGGTTGCAGGAAAGTGTGAGCTTTAAGACTGGTTTACTCCAGTTCTCCATCATACACAAGGAAATCCAGGGAAAAGATGTGGAAGAGCCTACATCATCAAACAGCTCAGGTTGTAGTAATGAAAAGGACTTCTGTCAAAGTGCCACATTGTACAGTTCACCAGAGGATAGTAACATTGAAATAACTGATGAATCAGTTTACTCTTCAGTTGATTTACAGGAAAACCTACAATATTGCCCTGAGTCTGGCCTTAAATTTTTGTGTTTACCCAAAAATATGGATGATCAAAGCCTTGGGGATAAGTGTTTAGCAAGAGGCGGATCTCATAGAGAGCAAATAGTTAGAAAAAATGGCAAGGCAACTTGGTCTTCACAGGCTTCTACAACTTTTGGACCCTTGAAAACAAGGGATAGTGTAAGAGCAACTCTGGCTTATGCAGCACTGTCTGCTGTATTTGAAAGTGATGAGGGTATCCCTTACACTGCAATGTGGCTGGATGCTACTGATGACCGAAAATCATGCAAAGTGAGAAGAGCAAGCACTGGAAGTCTTGACCACACTTTTTTGCATCCTCAAACTGAAAAAGTAAACAATGGGATGTTAGATCCAGCCAACTTTGAATCTACCTCAATGGGATCATGTGGTAAAAATGCTATTGAGTCTGTTACAGAATATCAAATTAGGAAAGCTATTGGACACAATAGGTCAAAGTCAGATCAGCTAGGTGTGACACAAAGTCAGAAGCATGAGTTTATTAATAATCTGGCAATAAGTGGTGCAAACAAGGAAAACTCCTCCAGTGATCTTAACAGACTGTCATCATCACTTCCTACTACATCAGGTGAGAATTTGAAGTTCTTCATCATTCTCAGCATAATTTTACCAATGCCTTATCAGACTATTCAATTTTTGTGGTAGAATCTCAGTACTGCCTTGACCCATACATGGATGACCCTTATCAAGAACAATCACTGGCCACAATTCTAGCATCACAGGATTTCAGTTCTTGTGAATTAGACAAGGTATTTGCCTTTAGAAATTACACTTTTAAATTTAGTTAAAGAAAACATTTAGAGACAAAATCAAAATAAATAGCTAACATAGGAAAAGTTGATTGGACGGAAGTAGTTGGACTTAACCACCAATTAGTAATGAACAGATGATCAACAAAGAGGTGGCTGTCAGAGACCATACAGAACCATCTGGAAAGTACTTTTCGGAAATGTTTGTGGCATGATAATTGAGCTGTTGCTCGTCGTATTTATGTCCTGATTACTAAGTTTATTTTGGCCAACAAAACTCCACACCATTGTAGTTCCCAGTACACTACCGTCATGTTGATGTATAATGGCAGGCAGATTGACAGCACTTGGAAATTATGCACTTATGCAGCACTTAGAAAGATAACCTGTCAACAATGTACATTTTCTGAAAGATCAATAGCACTGGAAAACAACTACAGGTTTAGATTTTCAAAGATGTCCATGACTGTAACCTTAAATTTAAGCATGAAGTACACTGCTAGTGATATCTCTAACGTAACAGCTGCCTCAAAAAATAGTGACAGGCCAACCATCAGTTGTTCCATGCATCAAAGTCTAACAGGGATGTGAGGTATCAACTGAAGGAAAATGTTGTAGGTCAATTTGTTCTTTAGGTAAATTTGTTTCAAACTAAGTTAATTTGATCTCAACCTAGGTCAGTTGCTGATGTCTGTCTGCTTTATTTTGGCTGTGTTGAGATGTCTGGAACCTGAAATTATTTTTAAAATACAGTCAAACCTCCCATAAGTGACCTTTCAAACAACAAAAAAAAAAAAAAACAGACAGACAGACAGACAGACATCAGCAACTGACCTAGGTTGAGATCAAATTAACCTAGTTTGAAACGAATTTACCTAAAGAACAAATTGACCTAAAACAAAAATTTATGATGGCTTTCTCAAAAACAAACAATTTTTTTGTTTTCTGTCAATTTTTCCACCAAACACTTTATACCCACAAGGCTTTCCAGCAACTTCAAAAATTTTATGTGGGGTCATATTTTATATAACAAAATTTTACTGAAAATCAAACTCTGTTGTGTAAAAATCTTGATATTTACCAAGTAATGAATGAAATAAATATTTCTAATTAAATAAATTATTAAATTTCTGCTACTACACTTTTGTGGTTATAGTTGTGACATGTTTTCATTTGAATAGGTTCTGTTACAGGAGAATGCCCATTTTAGTATATCTGAAGCACTGATTGCGGCAATTGAACAGGTATTAAGTCAGTTATGTGCAACTTGTTTATAATCCCTATTTCACATTAATTTTTTAGTTTCTTATAAAAGTCAGGGCCAGAAGAAATTATTAAACAAAAATGAGTATTTGCACATGTTTAGGAAAGTTATATTTCATTTAGCAGTGTAGTGTACTTCTGTAATGTCTCTGAGATGCATTCATTGAACAAAAGTTGGCAAAACCTTCCATAAATTGTCAGATTTTAAAGGAGCTGAATACTCTAGAAACAAGATTTTATTGCCACTATTAATTCTACAGGTGCATCTAATTTTTTTCAACTAAGCATGTTTTTAAACTCCAAAGGGTAAGCTCTTTAGATTCTTCAGAATATTCAACTCAGTACCCATTAATTTTTGTGTATTGCTTTGTAACCTGGCTGCTAGCCTGTGAAATCTTCCTGTCCTTTTTCCAAAAATTATTTATTGAACTGTATGTGGTAGTTTTGGATATGTATAGCTAAGATAAAGTTGTTGTTGGTGGGTTTTTTTTTAGGCATCCAAAGTAACACTGTAACCCATTTGAATACAATTTTCAAACAGTTAGCTTGTTTTCTGGATTGTGGAAAGCCAAGCAAGACAAAAGTGTTCAAAAATAAAATATAGGTTGTATCATTAACTATGTGCTGTACTGTATAATACATGGATTGAAAATAGAATATATTAATAATGGTTTCTACTGAGGAAATATAGGTTTGCAATCAGATAGCAGGCATGCCACATACTTATGTCACTTGAAAATACAACCTGAAATATATAGGTTCAAATTACCAATTTGGCCACTTTTCTGGAAAATCTTCGGAATGAGGCCAATGTGTGTGGAATTCCATATTTATGCACATAGAAATGACGCCATGTTGAAATAACCAGTTTTTACAAAATGCAGACTGCAGACTGCAGAACGAGTGCAAAATGCAGACTATTGGTACAAAATGTAGATTGCCAACTGCAGACTTGGTGCAAATTGCAGACTTACTGAGTGTCATGCAATCGCTTTTCCCCTATCATCTTTTTCCAATCGGGGTATACTCTTTGCCCATTCCCTCATGTATTTTGTTTTTAACAAAGTGTCCAGGTGACGATCCTTCTTAAATACAATTTTAAGCCTCGTAGTCTTCTCAATTCTTGCTCTCTGCACGAGTTGTCAGTATCTTTAAAATAGCAACATGCAACTTTTATTTTCTAAATACTTGACATTTATATAGAAAGTCTGGTTTGATTGCTTACACAGCACATGTGTGGGGGAATAATACAGTCAACATATTTAAACCAGACATAGCAGGGCAGTGTCAATAAATGTAACAATAGAGCAACACTTATATTTTAAGACAGATTTAATTTGGTAAGTGAGAAATAACTTTGGGCAAGATTTTGGACCAAATTACAGAATTTTACAGATTTCTACATGTGCATGCCTTGTATTATTTTAAGCTTACATGAGGAACTGGCAAACTTTTTTTTAGGGAAAAGTGAAGGGTTATTTTTGTGACTGCATGGCCATTTGACTACTTTTCTAGTATACTATTTTGCAAAGCGAAATGAAACAAAAGTAAATCAGGCATGATCTAACGAAACTACAGGGATAATAATGATATATTTTATAATAAGGTAAAGATAACTTTTTACAAGGATTTTGGAGTAATAGTTGATTAATAATAAGGGTTTTAATTCAGTTTCCAAAGTAGTAATTTAAGAAGAGTTACTATTTTGTTAAATGAGCTATTTTCACCTTGTGGTAACAAAGTGACCTCTTTCATGTCACAAAAATACATTTGAAGGTTACAAATTAGTATATTGTCAAGGATTTTGGCCTCCTCGGCTTATACAAAGTTTTTAGTAGTTTTTAATTTAACCCACTAATAAGAGCAGGCCAAAACCTTAGTATGTTCCAACCAAAGATATATAGTGTGACATGAAAATGGCAACATCGTTACCATCTGTGAAAGTTATCTTTACGTTTTTAGAAAATATATTGGCATTATCCATTAAGTTTCATTGGATCTCATCCGGTTTTGTTTCATTTTGCAAAATAGTATAAGTCCTTCTCTGGTGGTTTAATGGATTGTTTTCTCTATTCAGTACTGACATCTCACGCACAGAGTAAGAAGACTACATGAAGGCTTAAAATTATATTAAGAATGATTGTGGCCCCTTTGTATCAAAAAGTACAGCACATATCTAATGACACGACTTATAATAATCTAATATTTTTTTAATAATTTAATATTTATATTGCGCAAATTAACATGTGGATATGACCAAATGTGCATCACAACACTTTTCAGGGGACTTTGGCCGGACTGCATCAGCAGTTTACAAGCAATCGAAGAAAACTTATTTGATGATGCCCCCTCCCCCCCAGTTCCCAGTAAACAGGCCAGACCACATCACAGTAATCTCGTGAGTGGGTTCTTTAACGTCCTCTGCCTAACCAGCTTAACTAATTAATAGATACAGGAGATGGGACCTATGGTTTATTCGTCCTTATCCGAGAAGATTACAATGTCTATCCATTCTTGATAAATTATAGAAAGGTAGCACATTCTCCTCAGTTATTTTGAGACCTTGAGTGTTGGTCCAGCTGGGGCTCGAACCATCAACTTCAACCTCCCGCACAACAATCCAGCGCTCTAACCAATTGAGCTAACCAGAGGCGCTGAGACTTGTATTTTATTTTTGAACACTTTTGTCATGCTTGGTGTTCCACACTGGATTCTTAAAACTCAGTAGACACTACATTTTTGTAGGTACATGTTTGATTGGTCGAAATTAGAATCATTCGTGTGTATGGCTTGGAGAGTATACTGTCTTCTTCAGCATGAGTTTAGTTTAGTTCAGTTTAATAGTTGAAAAACAAATGTTACATTGTAACTAAGGGGCTGAATTGCATAATTAAGGCTGATAGTTTCTAANCGCTCGAAACGTCAGCTTTTATAATCGTAACGGTGGCCAATTTACCATTTCAACTTTGTTGATATATTGAAATTATATTGAATTGCATAATAGTTTACAATGATATACTATGTTATGATAGATACATACAGGAGTATAATACATATAGGAATATTATAAAAAATTACAATTGTATCAGAAACTATAAAAAGATAAAATTTCACTAAGATCGAGTAATACAAGGCAGGCTTGGTCAATCCATAGTTAATAGAGGGGTCCCCTCTGTTAACTATGGTCAATCGAATATTCACACAGTGTTGTTTGCTAGACGGCACGTGCTCGGGATGAAGGACCGCTGAAAACGCTTGTTGTGTACGCCAGAGAGGTCGTACTTTCTAATTCTCCTTAGGTTATAATGGTTTACATGATTGGTAGGAAATAACTGAGATAGTTTGTGGTCATTAGAGATTGCATCAAACAGTTTAGAACACTGGTCCTCATACTGAGACTGCAAAGTGTCTAAATTATAGTTACTCAATCATAAGACTGGAAGAACAATCTGGTAAGATGATACTTAACGCCCTTTTCTGTACTCTTTCAATATCATTACTTAAATACTTGGGCAATGCATGGTGAAAAACAGGCGAACAATATTCCAGGACAGGTCTAATAGCAGTGCAGTAAAAGTTGATTATGTCATGAGGGTCCACTCCCACTCTCCTAAGGAGAACCAGGAAATATAATCTCTTATTGGCTTTCTTGATAGCCTCAGACATATGATCATTCCACGTAAGATCATTAGAGAGTCACACCTAAGATCTTGGCAGAGCTAACAACAGAGAGATCCTTCCTGTTAACGGTTACAGGCTCGAAAGCATGCTTGTTCTTCTTAAAGTCGATGTTCATAACTTTACACTTATTGGCATTTAGGGTCATTCGTTGATCGCATGACCAGGTTTCAACAATGTGAACAGTACTTTGGATATTGGTCGACTCTCCTCGCGGCACAATCTCGGCTACAGTAGTGTCACCCACATATTTCCAGGAATGGAATCCACGGACCCTCAGGTCATTTATCATTAGGATAAATAACCAAGGGCCAGTTTAGTGCCCTGCAGGACGCCAGCTGGGATCATATGCTGCCCATTATAGGACTGCTTTTCTGTAGATTTTTGCTTATTCATCAGTACTACCGTACTAACAGCTTTCATCAGTACTACAGTACTAACAGTACTAAACCTCTCGCGAGCAAGCATGAATACCTACGTACTAGCGTGCTAACTACAGCTCTCGAGCGAGCAAGCAAGAATACCTACGTACTAGCGTACTAACTACAACCCTCGAACGAGCAGGAATACCTACGTACTAGCGTACTAACTACAGCTTTGGAGCAAGCAGGAATACCTACGTACTAGCGTACTAAGTAAACCTCTCGAGCAAGCATGAATAACTATGCACTAGCGTACTAGCGTACTAACTAAACCTCTCGAGCAAGCATGAATAACTAAATCAGGCATGATCTAACGAAACTACAGGGATAATAATGATATATTTTATAATAAGGTAAAGATAACTTTTTACAAGGATTTTGGAGTAATAGTTGATTAATAATAAGGGTTTTAATTCAGTTTCCAAAGTAGTAATTTAAGAAGAGTTACTATTTTGTTAAATGAGCTATTTTCACCTTGTGGTAACAAAGTGACCTCTTTCATGTCACAAAAATACATTTGAAGGTTACAAATTAGTATATTGTCAAGGATTTTGGCCTCCTCGGCTTATACAAAGTTTTTAGTAGTTTTTAATT